ATTCTAGTTTCCGGAGCGGATCATAGAGTCACGTGGGAAATATGTTTGTGAATAATCATATCCTTATGCAATGTAATTAATCTAATTAGTGCATTCATGGCCGTTGGTCTCCAGACCCAGTTACACTACTAGAATTCCAATAAACACGACCGTAAAGTTGAGGTGGCCCCGCAATCCAGTTGCATTTACGAAGATTTAATGCAGAAGTTTATGTGTATATATAGAGGCTAAAAGTTTATACTTCGGTTAAGAGGAAGTTCCTTAGTTCAGGAACATGTTATAAGAATAACAGTTGTCCCTTAATTGGGAGTAATTGTATTGAATTCTAACAAATCGAACAAAGGTGCTTCCGTATATCAGTTTAACATCCGGAAAAAAACCTTTCCGCGTTTTCGTATTTAACTTTTCAACTGCGAATATGAACTAACTTTGCATTATTTTCCAACTGAAAAATACTTTTTTAACTCCCCTTCCGGCGACAACAAAGTAAATTAAATTCTTTTCGGAAACGTTTCCGTTGCATTCATTTTATGGGCTCATACTAGTTAGTTTTAAACGCTCTGATAATGTTGGTACACTGCGAATTAAATTAAAAGAAAATATTTTAAAAACCCGGAAAAGTTCCCCTTGCTATAAACAAGTGGAAAAAGTCTTTGATGAGTAAAATCGTGATAATTAGTTTTTCGTCACTCTGCATTACTTCTCTTCTTCGTTAACATTATACTATTATACATCCGTTAATTAGTAATATTATAAAACTTTAGTGCCGCCGAAAGTTTGCCTTTCTCATAACGCAAAAATATATTGTTTTTCTTCTTCCGCAACGACGACTATATTTGTTCAGATATCCAATTCCCAGAAGTAGGTCCCGTAATGTGTTTAAGAGCGTCCCGGCAAAATGGAATCCGAAGTAAACAAGCTAACAGGGGGAAGATTCGCACTAACACTCGGAGAATATGGAGCAAAATGATTAGTCAGCGTTCCTGGCCGACACTCCAGGTCCATCCGCAATGCAATCAAGGCAGATGGTAAAACAATAGTGATCCGGCAATTATTATTTCTCTCGATCCGGAGCGCAGCGTGTGCTATCTGCGGCATCGCGTTGGTTCTATGCTCCCTTTTTTTCCTGAAGAAAATTCGACTACAAATTATTTCATTTATTGAGAAATAATACATGGTTGCTTGAATTAAAAAAAACGTGGGTTTTTAGTGCATTATTAGTTACACAATTTCTCGTTAATACCCTTTCATTATTTTCGTATTAATCCCATTTTACGAAAGCTTAATTGAAAAATTACCTGTTTGTGTATACATATCTAGAACGACGCAAATAGTGTAATAAATACTATTTCCAGTATCAAGGACTCAATTAGAAACAATCCATTACATATGTATTAACGATTAAATAATTTACTACATACTGTCATATCGAATAATTACCTTGCGATAGATCAATTTCGTTGTTCGAAATAAGGGGTGACCATTAGGAGAAAGTCCGTTTCGATTCGAATTAGGTCGAAACGAACGAAAAAAAAACAACATCCGGTAAAATATTCCCGATGGCGAACGTAGGTACTCAATTATTTACGATCCCATTTGATATAAATACGTTATTAGATCAACTTTGCCGGAGCATGTGAACTTCCGATAATATAACGCAGCTCTCCCTTCGGTGTATTCACGGGCTGGTTTGACAGCAACACCGCCAGGATCGCGTTTCGCACGACATGCGTGCAACTTGTCCGCTCCGTTACTTTTCACCCGCGACCAAATCGAAATTGTCACCCTGAAAAATATTCCCGTACGTTCCACCTATCGCTTGAGCGCCATTAAAAATGTACATGCGAACGTCGATTTGAATATTCGCATAAGAGACAACCGGTAGTGGAAAATATTGTGTTCATTACATAACATTTTTAGAGATAGTGGAGAAATACACCACTTCCACCTTCCGCTTGCCTTTAGCGAGGGAATTAGCGCTGTAGAAGGCGATCGGATCTATTATTCTTTTCATATTCGCGTAAAAAAGTGCACGAGTGAACTTCGCCATCATCTTAATCTGCCTTATAATTTTGGCTGTTTAATCGTTCCAACTCGGAGCGTGGAACTAAGTGCCGTGAAAGGTTGGCAGCCCTTTCATATTTAATGGAAACTCGGCCCTCGAGTCATTCGATGAATATTTTAGTAACTATACAGCAAGAAATGGGTCTCACTTGACAGCCTCTATGTATAATAGTGTATGTATTTCTATTTCAATTGACTCTACACACACCCACACACACACACACGTGTGTAATCTAAACATGTAAGCTAAAGTGGAAGATTATAATAATATTATAATAAGTGTAGAAGTTTTATTTGCTCATCGTGCATTAGATTTAGGTACTTTTAAAACTTTTTAACACCCCGTATCTCGAAAACGAAGCATTTGCGGACATATGTTTATATAGCAAAATATCATTATTTCTTCATACACAATCACCCCATGAAGTTTGTCGCACTTATTAATTACCACCCTGTATTAAAACTCTAATAATGAATAGTTAATTATTCTTCTTTAGCGCCCTACGTGAGTGAGGAGCAGCACGTTCTGATCTCTCATTGCTAACCTAATCAAAATATACGCTAATTCCAGCATGCAACCTATATTAATATTCACCTCTTCGCCCTCCATTTCGTACCCCAGAGCGCGACCGAAAATCAATTTAAATAATGAAGCATTATACGGGGGCGAGAGGGAACCGGTTACGGGAAAAATCCGCCATCGAAACAGCGAGTTTAGCATGCAGGAAACCCGGTACTTTTTTATGATTACTTTGAAAAATGTAGCCGCCGTTTCGACGTTGCAACAATCGCGATTTTCGTAGTGGATTTTTTTTAGCTAGGAGCAAAAAATAAGAGCGGAACCGTATAGGAAGCATGTGGAAAGAGGGAAACCTGGATTGTTGTAAATAAAAAATGGAAGTTAATGGAGTTAAATGTTTCCAACGGATATAACGGAAAGTTCTACAGCGGACCTACTTAAGTCATGCAAGAATTAACTACTTTTATTTATAATTAATAACAAAAATACGATATGAAAACGTTATACCTATATATAAAATTTAATGCGACATATTCTTTGTTCCTTTTATGTTATGGAAATATAGTATTCCAGACATTATGCTGAACGTCGCAGTACGCATTTTTCCTCTCGAGTTTTACATATATATGCACTCGATGTCTTTCCCTTGTACTTGGGTTTTCCCCTTGTTCCATTCGCATAGCGACGCACAAAAGGCATTTCGCCCGTCTCACCTGTACCTGTGCCAACCGGGGGGCTCTTTGATATGTCCAAGTGTACCTACTGTTAGGTGAGTAATGCATATTTCAAATGTTATATCTCATAATCTGGAAGGGATACATCCCGAAGGGCCTCCTCCGCTGCATGGCCCTCTGCCTCGTTCCGACTCGTTTATATTAATGAGGTCGTTCGCTTTGATAAAACGCGAATTTTCAAAAGCTGAATATTCAAGTGTTCGCGTATACGGCGTTTTAGTTGGGCTGGTGGGGTTTTAGTTTCGCTTAAATTTCCCTTTTGCGGATAGGTTACCTACTCGGAGACGGCTCGGTTAAGTAAATAGTGTGATCGTATAATTGCCCTGAAATTCGTTGTGCATGTAAAGGGCGTTAAATATATTAGAGTGTTAATCGAAGAAGTTCCCTATTCACTCGCATTAAAAACCACGCTCTGCCTAATTTAAAGCGCTAGATAAATATACTGCTCCACAAAAGTTAAGGAAGTTCATAAATATTGAGATTAATTTAAAAGTTGCAGGTTTTTTGATCGCCAAATTTAGTATGAGTTGTAGAGGAAGGGGCAAAAAATCCACTCAGATATGAGAGAAAACATTTAATTTCACATATTTGAAAATTTGGTGATCAAAAAGTCTGTAACTTTTAAAGTAATCGCAAAATTTGCGAACTTCCTTAACTTTTGTGGAGCAGTTTATTTCTTTACATGCAGTGATAGTACAAGAGTTCTTTTTATTTATTTAAATATGAATTAATAATGATTATTTTCGATTAAGAAATTAAACCATTTCGCTAGAGAATTACAAGATTGCCTTAAGAAACTAACTGAATTTGTAACTTTCATAATCGAATTTTGATTGGAAAATTTCCAGGTTATATGTAATACTATCGAAATCGATTATCTAAGTTCGTTTCTGGATGTAATCTTAGTGTTGGAAACTTTGCTGTAGTGACTTATCTAACAGCGACATGCTAATTATGTTATAACCGGTCATTCGGTGATCGATAAATAAATTCCAAATATCCCAAGAGAATCTAAATTCCACCTACATCTTCGGCGTACGTAGATAAAACAAGTTACAATAAATTCCCGCAAAAGCAAAACTATTCCCAACGCGCTAATTCCCTTTACCGCCAATACGCTAAACGAATTCCATTTCCATTCGTGCACGCGGCCATATCGTACTTTCCCCCTTTTTTTCAGGAAAAAAACCAGCTTTCCATACGTACACATAACGATAAAAATAACATTTGATAATGATTTATCCATTTCCTATCTGCCCTTATGGCCTCCTTCCGCCTTTCGGCCTCAACACATGTTCCGCCGGCGTTTTTCGCTTCAACCTGGAAATTCTGGTCCCTCCGATGAGCACATGACTCTATTATTTGCTTTCGATAGAGCCAGCGTTGCCGCATCTCCCAGTTATTCTTCACATACAAGATTAACGCTTTTATTTACCGTGCACGAGTAGTCAGTTTGAGTATTCTGGGAGGCATTATTGGGTGAATTTGAAGGTGTAAATGTTAGTGGATGTTTCGGGGAAAACGCGGTAAGTGAGTCAACAATGGGAAGTTGTGGGGGTGTATTCGATAGAGGGCTTTTCGGCGAGCGGTTCGCGCACCCCGTCGCTCGTCTTGGCGTCGCGACGATCGCGCTGGGTATGCCCGAATAGGTGCCGTCGTCGGCGGACGGCGACAGCGGTGTCAGTTGGTATCGGTTCTCTCGTTGGGAAGTTCATTCGCTAGCGATCTTTCGGTGTGCACCAGCAGCGATCTCGACGCGCGAGTTTCGAAGGGCCGGCGGTCGGCGAGGTTTGTCGGCGGTTCGCGGTTTCTGTGGCGGTTTATTTTTTTTTGTTGGTTCGGTGCGAGGATTGTTTGGGAATTGCTGTTCAGGATGGATTGCATAGACATGTGTCCCGAAAATGAAGTAATTTTTTTTATTTACAATTAAGTTTTGACGTTCGAGGAGAGGAGTTTGGATTGTTTATTTTTAAATTTTCGTTGCTTGTTTTTGGAAATATTTCTCTTATAAACCTACTTAGTGAATGGAAATGCAAAGTTTTTTTCTTGCGAATTGTTATTTTTGAATAGATTTTGCTCTCAAATTTCCTGGAATAAATTAATCTTTAAGGCAGCTTTACGGATAAAAAGCTTAAAATTTAAAATAACGAATCCCTCCATTTATTTACGTAATAGCAAGTTAAATAATATAACAAAGATACTAAAACTTTTTTAATATAAGTAAGCTCTATAAATCTAGGTAATTTCTGGTAACCTACAAATTTAATAAAAAATTACTTCATTAATATTTATAAATAAATCTCCCTACCTACAAACCCTACTATGTTTTAACAACATTTTGAATTTTTTATTACATTTTGAAGAAACTTCTTCAATTAAGTTTTTTGTACACAAATCTGCGTTAACTTAAAAATTAAATTCGCTCTTCGCTGTTACTGATGAAATGTCAAAAAAAGGCAAAGTTTTTTTGGCTATTTTCTCATTATTCTCTGATGAATTATTACTGAAGTAGTCAACCCGAATAAAAAGAGGGATTATTATTTATTTAACGTTAATCTCTCCTTGTTCGAAAGTGGCATGAATAGGGGCCATGTAATTAATCAAAGCGACGAGCAAAAGGGTTGATTTTGTTAAAAATTTCTCAAAGAAACTTTGAATAATCGTTATATTTAATTTTTTATGATGATAATTTTTTACATATTTTATACTATACACTTCCTTGCTTGATTCCATAACTTCAATTGCATCGTAAATTAACGAATTATTAATTGGCTCGAAGAAATTCCGTTAATTAATCCCGTTTTCGAAAAATAGAACTTCCAGTCATCCATTAGGGAATTTATTTAAAAACTTATTGAACTCCGCTTTTAAAGCAACCACTCAATTCCAAGATAAACGACTCGTTATTTTTAATTCGAGGCGCTTTGCGCTTTTTTCTGTTTCCAATAAAACCTAATAATAGAAAATTATGAGCAATCAATTTGATACGATTACGAAACAACGAGCAGGGTTTAGATTACATCGCCCGCGCTGCTGAAATTGTTTGTTGCTTTTTTCCGTTCTTGTTTTGTAGTTGTTAACAAATTTATGACTCAACATCTTCTGCAATACTGTTTCCTAATTGTTCCTTTTGTTCTTTGTTGTTATTCAAGGTAAAAGAACTCTTGGGTTGTTGTTTTTTTTAGTCGCGTTTGCAAGAAGGAGGTCGTATTTATTTCGACGAAAATAATTGTTTTCTAGGGCGTTTTTGAAACTTTTGAGCAGTCTTTGTGAGGTCTGTTGGAATTCTTTGTTATTTTGATGTATCGGAATTCACAAACTGAATAAAATTGGTTATTTGCCGCTTTTACGTACGTTTATATCTATTAGTAGAAATAGGTTTATGGTCCTCTAGTTAATACTAAATAGTGACGGGTATTATTAATTTGAATTTCAATGCAAAATATTATTTGTGTGCACGTTAAATTTATATCAAAACTTAGCCCATTCGGTATAATTTTATTCAGTTCGGATACATCCAAACAAACCCTATAGCAAAATTACTCGCTACCTAATTAATAAACTTTTCGAAATGTCTCCCATTCATTAATAATCATACTGTTCGTATTCTCCTGGAGTTTCTAATTGCCCATTGTACGCGATAGTAAAGCGTATTTTTCCTCCGTAATTCGCCGTGGATATTCTCCGTGCATCGGCATCTTCTCCAACGGTAAAACTAGCCATCGAGCATCTAGTTCGGTGGGAGAGAAGAGAGAGCAAAACTAGATCATATCTCTTTAATCTTGCGCAACTGAATATGATTCTCCACTCTCATTCAGAAGAATATACGAGAGCGTACACGCCCAATCAGTAGCGCGTTTCGAAAACCCCCCAAGGCCTAATTTGTTGTTGTTTTATTGATTTATGTTTACCACAATTTACTATTTGTTGATTGCAAAAGCTGATTCGTTTAATTTTGTATGCATTATTTTTTTATCAAAAGAATCCGTTAATAGTACTGAAACAACGCAAATTTTTGAGTCTAGAACCCTCCTTTAAAAACGTATTAATAATTTAAGTATGTACAAAAATATATTTAAAATATTTCATGCACGCCAATGCAGATTGCTAAAGGCATTATTTAATTGACCATTGACCGATGACCTATTAATCATGGTAATAATCGGTACATTTAGGACTGGAGATACGTGCGTTTATTATTTGACAGTAAATTACTACCTTTGTTTAGTATAATGTGTTACCCAACAGTCCGTATTTGATCCGAAATCGTCCATTAAGCCCCTATACATCAAACGCCCATAACCCAGAATTTTATTAAGAAATATTAACGCGAACCACATGATGAATATTAATAATTACGAATGCAGGATGAGTAACGCGACAAATTCGAATCCCGAATAAGTTAATTAATCGCCTCGTTTCCGTCTATACATTTTTAAACGATACACATGTAGCACCTATATGTTATTATTAATTCACGCGACATGTGTACAAGTACTAATGCATACAGCTGATTGGAATTATTCCCAAAATGTTCTCATTGATGCAAACAGTAGACTCGCAAATAGTTTTGTATAAATAAACCGTGTGTTCAAATTGATCAGATTCATTAACCGGTAGATCAGGCTGATTTGTGAACGAGCAGGTGTATTTCAAACATATGTTTTAACTGTTAAATTAGTGCAGAAGGTTCTAAAGAGAACACTAATTGCTCGCTTTAAGTCCGCTTGTTTCTACTAAAAAGCACGATAGAGTCTACAGTCTACATTATACTCATTATAGAGCGCATTCAAGTAATGTACAAGAGCACCTAATTATATAAAATGAATTTATACTGCAGCTCTATTACAAATTGCCTCTAAAATCTACACATTTCTCTAATAGGAAACTGTAAAATTAATCTCATTCCTCTCGAATTGATTTCCGATGCCTTAAATTTTTTATACACTTATTCCATCTACTCGTGCATTTTGTACAAACTATCTTCGAGACTAAATCCTGTCACTCCGGCTTATTTTCAAATGAATGTAGGCGGCGGGAGCTCTCTAATTCTAAGCATTTAACTAATGGCGCGCGCGGAAAAGCGTATCTACTAATTGACGGAAAAAAGGACGCGGGGGACGCGATAAAAATCTCACACCTAGCGAAATTAAGCGAGTGCAGAAAATAAGAATGAATTATTCGTTATTCGACTCACTCGAAGTCGTAAAGAATATTTAACGCTCCGAGTTGGATGCGTTCCAAAACAATTTCGTAATATACACGGGAATCCTTCAAAGGTCACTTGAACACCAGGATTCTCCCCGCTGTAATGCGGACGAGAGTTTTAGGGAAATATCAGTTCGACGTCGAGGGTTGAAAGGTGAAGCTTTAATTGTATTTAATTTTTAAAACTCTCTACGCTCGTTATAATAACTGGTACATACGTAACTAATCTGGTCATTCAAACGGTATTGATTCGTAATGGGAATTAAATTATCATTAGATATTATTAAGGACTGGAGCGCTGCTGGTTAATCCATTCACCCTGAACTATATCCCTTAGGTAGCCAACCCTTATTATGTATTATTCAACATGAATTTCCAATTAGTTTCTGTTGTTACCACAAACGATTTAAGAGCAAAGCCATTTAAATGCCTCTTGATGGAGGATCTTTGGAGATTTCTCGAGGACTTTTTTTAGAAATGTAGTCGTTCTTCTAACATTCCTGAAGGATTTCAGGATTCAGGATTTAATTATAATGACGGTTTCTTTGTTTTAAAGTGCTTACTCATTTTGTAATATCACTCCTCGCTAAATAATTAATTAATTACAATTCCGTGTTATATTAAATATTAATTAAGTAATTTTTTTCAGGTGAGGACGTTATTCGTGAGTGGTCTACCAATGGATGCCAAGCCTCGGGAATTATATTTGTTATTTAGAGCATATGAGGTGAGTGTGTTATTTTTTTTTTGTTGAAATACAAGTATTTTCCCGGAATCCGTAATTTACATAAATAAAATGGCTGTTGTAATTGGAATATTCCGGTTAAAACGGCGGAAAAAGTTTACATATTTCTCGGTCTTTGTTACAGGGATACGAAGGATCGTTACTGAAGGTTACGAGTAAGAACGGCAAAACAGCGTCGGTAAGTTCGTCGTAGAAATTAGGCAAGCGTGTAGAAATTTAAATACGTTACATAAATTCGTTCCGATTCGCGAGATCGCAACAATAAAACTCGCTATCAGAAGCAGCTATCGAATCAACGTCGCGGTTTTTTATATATTTTTTTTAATCGATCATATACCTAACCAATTACGCAAGTTATTACTAACACTAGTTTTAAGCGTAGGAAATAATCTGATATTATCCTTATACCGTTTTGCAGCCAGTGGGTTTCGTGACTTTTAACACCAGAGCGGGAGCTGAAGCAGCTAAACAGGACTTGCAGGTGCGTCCCCTTACAGCTTTAATCATTCATCCCCCGCCTACGAGGGCGGCTCAAAAATCCATCCAAATGCTAATGAACCAGCAATTTTTCCTGTACGGATTTTTGAGCCGACCGGTATTTTTACAAACAAAATTAACACACAACGAAGACACTGATGGGAACGTTCGAAAACCAAATAGAAATTTCCTTCTTGGTTTTTGGACGATTCTCTTTAACGAATTCGAACTTCTCGTCACTCCTCTGTAACATACCCCTTAGCAGAAAAAAAAAACAAACCGAAAAGCATGCCTATAATAAACATATCCCCAGCCCGCAGCACATCGTGTGTCACCGACCCCACCCACCAGCAGATTACCTGCTTCTAAACTGCATTAGTCGTGTATGTATTACCCTGCCCTTCCTATATCCTTTGAAATAGTCCTGGCGCTCTCCCGTCAATCATAATTACATTATCTAACAGAATTATAACAGCAATTTAATGGTGAATAATTTGAATTATTGCTACTAGAGGGTATAAGTTATTAATCACGCAGAGCTAGTGTCAATCATATTGTCATCTCAATTAGTGTAAAATTAATTATTTAATTCTAAAATGTACTAGATTTCTACGCAGTTGAAAATGTTAATTTAGTTAGAAATGTTTCTGCTGGGTTAATTTATTCATGAAGTTCCTAGCGCCGTTGAGCGCCCGGACTATTTTAGGTATACCTATATCCTTGCTTCCTTCCTTCCCCGTATCATCGGCGCCTCCGCTGGTCACCCCTACACACTTACGTGTCCTCTCATGTGTAATTCCCTTCGGCATTAGCTTGCGAAAGAACCGCGTAAGGGCGATTCACGGGCGCGCGTCCGCCAAGGTTTAATATTCGATTTTTTTTTTTTCGAAGGGGTGTAACGGAACTGGAAATAAGGGGGCGCGTGATACGTATGAGTACCAGCGGAGTCAGAGGACAGGTGTAAACCAGGTGAATTTCGGCCGAGTTTAATTAGTTCGATGTTTTAATATAGGAGAGTTTGAAATTGGTTTGTTTTGTTGTACAGGGTGGCCAATTAAGATTGCGAGGTACTGTATTTGGGAAACTATGCATCGTAGAGGATTGCGGTAAAAAAAGTTACTTTACCACTTTATTTTTAGAGATACAGCAAAAATTGTTAAACAAAAAAGGTTCATATTATACTCGACTTTAAATATCTGGTATTTTTTTGTTAGGTTAATATAGCGGAATTCATAGAAATATCTCTTTTTTAGTTTCAATATTGCAGTTACACCCCCTAGCGGCCATTTGAGAAACTTGAAAACAGGTTTTTCTCTTGGCCGTTTTAGTAATAACTTTTTTACCGCAATCCTCTACGATGCATAGTTTACCAAATACAGTACCTCGCAATCTTAATTGGCCACCCTGTACATAAAAGTGATAAAAATATATGTAGTTTAGATGTTATGGCGCTTACTTTAATTTAAAAAGGACTCATCTAAATATCCTTCAAAACGTACCAATTCATCCAGTACAAAAATAAATTCCTTTTATAGCCTATTTGACTTATTTTTAGACATCGCATGTCTTAAAAATATTGGAAATTAACCTAAGAGGTCACATACGTTATCTCTAATTTCCTTCTATTATAAAATATAGACCAAAGTCTGCTATATTAACGTCGAACCAATAATTTTCCAACTCGCGAACCGTCGCAACTCCCTGGTTAATCGCCACCAAGAGCGCGGGTCCTAATTGTAAAGCATCCTCTTTTGGTGTCCCACTTGTATAAACCGAACAAATACCGAGTTGAAATATTTACCAGCAATTAGATCTTGCTAATCATAATTTACGGCTCTTTTCGACTCGTGTAACCAGTACCCGCTACGTTATCCCAAATAATTATTTAGTCTAACAGTTTTGTAAACTTCCTTTAATCCTACCTATTATTAGCCCCGCCGAAGGAAAGGTAACGATATACCTTCGAAGCGTACGTGAAATTAATCCAATAAATAAAACATCCTCCCACCATATGGTTCGGGCACATGTCTTCCACCCTAATCTAGATAAGAACCGAGCGGCTCGTCGGCCAAATGTTGCTCGCTGTTGGGTAAATAATAGTTCGGTTTGAATCCCTAGATATTCTACGTGTAGTTCCGTTATTAAGTTAGACTTAAAGAAGGAATTTGGTTGAGGGATGAAACGACTTGGGGAGAAACGCCATCCCAAGGTCACGGGGAATGGTTTATTTATTGGTAGTTGATTTCACGTTTTGTTTACTTTTGATTTCGCCTCGGAATTGGCAAGTTTCTTCTTTCTTGTCGATTTTTGTTAGCGTGTAAATTGATTTACTAGATGGAATAAAAACAATGCAGAAGATTTTATGATTAAAAGTGCGAGAAAATTGTACGAAAATTTAGTTTTTTTTCGGAAAACTGTATTAGCAGAACTTTCAAATAGGTAAAAAAGGGAAAACAAAACGACTGGTATATTACATCATGAAATAACGTGAAAGAATGCTCGGTAGTAGATAAATATATTTCTGTTTCCATCAGTCGGGCGATCTTATTGCCGTTTTTCTCAGGTTTCTCCTCGTCTTCCACTTGTTGGGAAATAAGTATTGATAAATCGTCCCAAAAGAGTTCCCAAACGGCGCCTTAAATATTTTATTAAAACAGCTGCCCTCTTCTCTTTGAATATTGCACGTCTTAATTTCCTTAAAAGTCCCAGGAATTATTAATCGTCGTCCAAATTACCGAAGACTTCTCGCTTACGCCCTAATGGGATTTAACGTAAATATTTCAACTCGACTCCTCCGGATCCTTCGCCTCCTCGTACCTCTGTCATTCACCAACATACTACCCCACTTTAGTACTTAAAACTATGACATTTGTATGATCAATTCGAATATCTCATCATCCCTAATCAACCACACCGAGTCACACTTTTTTGTGGGCAATTTTGCAGCAGGGCGTAAGGTTTGACCCCGACATGCCACAGACCATCCGACTGGAGTTTGCTAAAAGTAACACGAAGGTTAGCAAGCCAAAACAGCAAGCTGCTAACGCCGCCAACACGCACCCAACTTTGATGCACCCCCTCACCGGACGTAAGTACACGGCACTCGATTCTGGCGGTACTAATTGATCGACTAATTAGACTCCCCCATTGTTTCCCGCGTCCAATTATTATTTTCGAACAATGAGAGAACTGTTGTGTATCGGGTTGGTTTACCGATGAATTGTAATGGATTTTAATTGTCGCGTTCGGAGTTTAGGTATTGTTGGCGTTCGAAAAAAAAAGCAAGATTCAGCAAGATTATACAAACTTTGTTCTTTTATGTTTGGTTTCATAAATAAATGGCATGGTTTTGAACAGTTGAAAGGAAATATGAAAAATTGGGTTGTAGGGTTGAGTAAAGTTTTTTGTTGATTAATAGGTTATAGTTAACAGTTTACTGGCCCTTCAGGTTTGTCGACTAACTTTTTAGGTTTGTTAACTGACTCTTTAAGTTTGTTGACTAACTCTTTTGGTTTGTTAACTGACTCTTTAGGGGTGTTAACTGATTCTTTTATGTAGTTATTTGCCTCTTTTGTGTACATAATCAACAAAATCAGAACTGCCAACATCTCAAATAAGTCCTATTTTTTTTTTTTCAAATTTACAACATTGTAATTATATTTTGAATTACTTATTAACAGCGCGTTTTTTCATGAATAAACTCGCACCATTATCCTCTGTTATGCTACTAAACCTGTTCGTAATAATTACAATATTAATATGCCAATGTTTTTAATGATCTCAACTTTATTACGGAGCATAATTTACTGGCGTAATAAAAACATAATTGTTACACATTCATAGATCTCGGCGATTTGTGCACGAAATTAAAAGATAATTCGGTTGTTGCTCGTGTGGGAAAGAAATCTTGCTTTTTTTAGGCGATTCCTGGAATTTTTCTGGTGAAAAAATAGTCGATCAATTGGGCACCACAGTTTCTTTCGTAAAACCACTGTTCCAGCAAAAGATTGGATCAGTTTGCTATACCTTTCCGCACCGACCCTTCCCACACCATGTCCCACACCGTCCAATTATCACATGTAGGTTACTAAACAAAACAAGAAGGGAAACGTGACTAATTTTATCTAACGACATTATGGTGTGGAAAGGGATCGGTTTTGCAGCGGAATAAAATTTCGACTCTTTCGCTCGGAAATTCGTATTTTTTCATCCTCTCCATCAACCTGCATAAGAGCGAAAGGGGGAAATATGTATAAGTAATGCTAACTCTCGCACGAGTGCGTATTAATACAGTTTTGTTTACATTTTTGAGATCTTAAAATAAAATTATGAAAAGTAAACGAATATTCGAAATTTGTGATTTCTCTATTCGAAATTTATTAGGAGTGGATGTACGGTTATTTTTGACTTATAGAGTTTATTTTTATTTTTATGATCAATGAAATTTACGATTGCAATTTGATAAGAAGCCAAAAGAATATAGAGACCGTAATGTAAATACATTCGGGTTATTATAAATAAACTGCAGGGATTTAAATATGATAAACGAGAGTAAACGAGTGATTGATTGGGAAATTTTTGACTACACGAAAATTAGTCACGTTTTTTTTAATTGTTGTAGATAACTTTAGGTGCTTAGAAATTTAATTAACATGATTGTAAATAATAAAATTTACTTTACAGCAAGTGATAGGGGTCGATAAAACTATGGTGTATTTACATTATAATTGTGCAATACACAAATAAAAAAATTGCTCGCAAAGCTCGCAAAGTTTCGAAACGTCCCGCAAAGAAAACTTCATAAACGCATAATTCATCCGAATGGCCGCTTTTCCAGCGCTCCAGCGCTAAGATCGCGTCCGGCATAGACGGGAAGGAAAACTTCTAAAGTGTCGCGAACTGAAAACTTTTCGCGGCTGTGAATGGGGCGAGCGATTGCACCTATAAATATCGCTCCGGCTTTATATTCCTGAAAGGGACTTGAGAATTAAACGCTACTATTCTTTAATTTCGACGCTCTATGCGATTGATTCGCTGCATAAAAGAAATATCTTGATGAAAATTGCAATTACATGGAGGAATGAGCAGAAGATTTACTTCTTGCTACTAGCTACAAATCTCGTCAGAAAACGCGTCACAGGTACCGTTAATGCGGAAAGAATTGTTTTAGAAATTGTGCAGGTAAAAAGAAACGAAGAAATTGGAAGAAAACGATTCGGTCTCTCGTAACGAATAAATAACGTAAAAAAATCCGCCGTTTTGTATCGAATCTAACACCGGTCTAGCGTAAAATTATTTGTTATCGTTAAACAACATCATTTTTACCGATTTTCTGAAGCGAAATCTTCGTCAAATTTAACGGTGCTTTCCTTGTGAAAACAATATTTTTTTTACTTATATCGGAACGGTAAAAATCGTTTAGTTTACGGATAGCGAGTTCTTCATTGTTAGGAATCTTAACCATGTAAACATGATTGTCTTGTTCCGTTGAATTAGTAAGAGAACATTTTTTAACAAGCTCTAAATACACCTAGAAAAGTTTCGTAAAAAACTATGTTAATGTGTAATCATGAGAAAATATAGATCAATATTTTTACAAGCTTGAAACTTGAAACTTTCGTGAGAAACAGTTCAGATGTCGCTTTTCGATTACCATCCATTGCGAATATCATAGTAATATTAAAATTACAGCTACTTATAGTCCAATTCTGCCATTGTAAAAGCGAGTGTTGTTAACGAACAGAAAATTATCAACAATTAACGAGCTTAATTTGTGACATGTATCGCCGTTTACGCAATTAGAAGCAGCTTAAAGAAATTAGCGCAAAAGTGAAAACACGCTAACCAGCTTCCTTTTTTTTGGCCAATAAAACAATTACGAAATTCTGTTAGAAGGGGAAACAAAAGTACAAAGAAGTAATTGTACTTCCTGTGACACTTTAACCGAACTGTACGCATATGCGGCGCATTTTCGCCGGTTTTTGTATTACTGCAGGACTTCCGTTCTTTTCTTGCCGATGCGAAACCGGTCGCATACGAAGCGACATTATTGCGACGCCGATTAAATTCATTCCCATGGCAATTAAACGAAATTTCTGTTTTCCAGAACGAGCGCGTAATACCGATCATTGCTACTTTTTTTTATTGTGTCGGTAACACTGATTTAAAAACTCTCTTAAAATTATCATATAAAATACCAATTGCATTTAAAATTTGACAGTATCAAAGGATTGATTTATTGCTTTTCGCCAGTTGAAGTATATGTGGGAAATTTGGAAAATTGACTAATTAACAAACAACACGTTCGATTAATCGCTGGACCGTCGTTTTGGAATACTTTTCCGGCGCAATGGCACCTTTTAGTGCGGTCGAAGCGTTTAATTTACAGTTCAAACACGGAATCGAATATCGCAGCTTGCTACTTTTTCAATTAAATTTACGGGAAATTGGAATATACCGAAACCGCTTAACTGGAAAACATTAATTTTTAGTTTGAAATTTAATTATTTCTGGACGCGCTCCGCTAAGCAAAGCGGAATTTTTTCGACGAAAAAAAGTCTCTCTAATAGTTTATGAAGTTTCACTAGTGATATATTTCGCTCGGTGATTTACAACAGGGATTATGTAATTTTGCATAATGGTCGGAAATTGTGCGAATTAAGAGTGTTTTATCCATGATTTTATGTAGTAATGTTGGCAAAAAATCAAAAAGACACAGTGAGTGTTATGTTAACAAAATTTGAAATGCAAATCATCAAAAAAAAACGGATGTACTCATGAATATTTTGGGTGTACAAAATGCCCATCATCAAACAATACAGTACCTGCTCGGACAGAATAAATATTAGTTTTATTTAATTATTAATTTATAGAGCATTGAATATTAATTCAATATCCCACCTGGAAAGTTATTCAAATACGAGTACTATTTATTCACAGGGCATGTTATATATAATAATATTAAATGTCAATTTAAAAACGCCATAGTTGTATTGACCGTATTAAAACGTCCATAAATAATTCTAAATTCATTGTCTGAATATTCGAAATCAACTGTAATTCTACAAAGGGATTATATCGATAATTACTAGTAATCTCGTTACATTGGTTTACTGATTTCGCTACAACAGAATAATTTATTTATACGTATCCATTAGTATCGCGTAGGTATTAGGTATAAGCTTAAAACAGAATCAGTTTTAGCCTTACACATTTCGGATTCTTGCCGTTTATCGATCAAATCAAATCTGACCAAGAGCTGATGTTAACTCTAAATGACAGTGTACTTTTCAGACCTGGGCACGCCGTTCTTTCCGGGCGCTCCTGATCTATGGCACCATCCTCTGGCGTATTCTGCAGCCGCCGCGGCGGAGCTGCCGGGCGCGGCGCTCCAGCACGCGACGCTCGTCCATCCGGCCCTCCATCCGCAGGTGCCGGTGCGCTCCTACCTTTGACTATCCACTGACAAGACCCTGGACTCCCAAATGCAGCCGGCCGGGGCTCCAGTCCACCATCATGTCAGTCTCTCCAATCCCTTCGAATATAAATCGACTAATGATTCGTTTCCAGCCTACGATGACGATGCCGCATCCGACGGCGTTGACGTCCGTGCACGCGGCGTCGCTGCCGCATTTCCTACCGAGTCCTGCCTTGGCTTCTCCCGTTGGTTCGTCGTCATCGCAACCCGGCATGGGAGTGAGCAATCCGCCTTGTTCCACGCTGTTCGTGGCCAATTTGGGACAATTCGTCTCGGAGCACGAGCTCAAGGAAATATTCGCGAGGTACGTAAGCGATATTTAAATTTTTTAGTCGCGTCGTTAACGCGCCATCAGTTATCGTTTCTCGCCTGTACGTGGATGTTTAATCGGTAGCAATCGGTAACTATTGTTGGTGGTTTGATTTTTGTGTTGTTATTACCCATTGCTATTGATTGAACCCGTCAAATCTCAATCAATTTTAATAGATTTCGGTGAACCGTGCGAGGTAATCCACATCAATCTGCCCGTCCGCTTTGCTAATTAGAAAAGTTGCCGCTGATGGGTCGTGAGCTATTTTTTTTATTGATTCACGTTACCCGAAAGTGGAGGATCCACTGGATCAATCGCTCCGTGCTCGAGCCGATAATGACCATCTACAAATTAAATTAATTTGCGCTACGCATTGTTTACCGAAATCTATAAATTCAGAGGGTTCATATACACATCGCATTTACTCGTTTATCGGATACTTGCCGTTGTCGAAAACATCGCGAGCACCTCGTCTCACTTGATCCTTATAATTGGTGCCGCATGATATTAATAGTGTAAAAGGTGAAGGTTTGCTCCGTATATCTAACGTGTGTGCACTTAAGATAATGATGTATGTACCCTCGCACTGTAGTTTAGTTAGTAGAGTGTTGCCAGGTTGGTGTGCCATTTATTTCTTTTCATATTATCCCCTTTAACGCACCTATAACATCTCGTAGCTCAGTACTTTAATTACTTGATTAAAGCGCAACTTAAAATGTAGAAAGAAATTTGTTTTTTTGGTAATATTCTCTCTACTTTAATCGTTATTAAGTTCGTAAATCAATAAAATACTTTAATCTGGTACTATTACTGTTTCGTGTAAATTATTTATGGCTAATCAATCAATAATTTCGAGGCTTCGAACTTGCAAAATCCCCCCGCCATGCGAACGCGTAACCAGAATATTAATACTCCCAGCTCGAGTATCGAATCTACTAATGCATGTTACATGTCATAACACGAATTCGAAGCGACAAGTAGATGCAATAAGCTCTACTCGTGGGCATAGTAAAAATTCCTCATTTTTCCACTTGCATTACTTCATATCCTAAAGAGGTTATCTACTCCAATAACTCCAGAAATGAGAAGAGAATTCTCACATAGCAATTTTCGTTTCGATTCGAATTGATCTGAGGACAGTTCCCGGCCTTGGCAGCACTGCGTAGTAGCATTCCCTCACACGTACACACTTCTCCATTGAGCAGCACCTGTGTTGTGTTCTTGTGCACAGCTTTCCTGGCTTCTGCCGCCTGCGCATGCACACCAAAGGTGGATCGCCCGTCGCCTTCGTGGAATACCAGGACGTGAGGTGTGCGGCACACGTCATGGCGGCCCTGCAAGGCTCCTTTCTGCTCTCCTCGGATCGCGGCCCCATCCGAATCGAGTACGCCAAAAACAAAATGGCTGCAGAGGTCGGTTATTCGTCGTGCGCTCCTTTAATTTACAATAATCTGAACTCGATGGAATCGATTATTGTATTTTAATGGACCCGTCCACTTATTCGCTTTTAGAATATATATGGTTATTTTCTGTTGCCCTTAGTTTTTCTTTAATGCACTAGTAATATCGAGTTTGGTGGAATGGACGCATTAAAAACGAACGTCGGCTCGTTTTTGTGGGTTTATTCGGAACGAGAGAGATTGTTTAATTTAGTGTAAATCGTTTTTTAGGGAACAAAAGGAGAAGAAATTGGACAATCTTAACTCTTACATGCCTCTAACTACTTGACAACAGAACGGGATGGTGGTCTCAGGGCATTGCTGAGGAGTCCAGAAAAGACAAAAAAAAAACTAAATAAAATTTAGCCGGCTGTTGTTTCGACACTTCTATAGAGAAACCTTAATCTATCTCTGTTAACTGTTGTAGTTATAATGTTTAGAAAAAAAATGAAAGAATTACTGGACAGTAATTATTAATAACGTGATAAGTATGTAGGTGAACTGCATCAAGCTGAAGTTGATCAGATTACTTCGATACTTCATTTTCTTAATATATAAAATGAAATTAAGCTAAACCAAAGGTGCCCTAAAAGTTAAGTTTTGTATTTTATTAGATATTCCTCGATGAACGAACACTACTGATAATGCACTAAAATTTGAAAAGTCTGAGACTATTTGCAATCGAGTTTTTAGGCACTGTTTCGGAGACGTTTTTAATTTTGTATTTTCGCAGAATTGAAAATTGAATTTCGAAACTCAGCCACCCGACGTGCCTCAAAAATTAGGCTGGTACTTTAACCACACCAGCCAGCACTGTATAGTGGTTACAGATACACTCTCAGATATATTTTTTATTCGTTAAGCCGTTTCAACACGTTAAATACTTGCGCTGGTGTTCGTACATTCGCGGATGACTTTTTGTCGAGCTTTCGTTTACTAGTAGTACCTATTGATAATCATCTGAAAGTAATATTTATACTTTTTTAATAGATTTTCGTTTTTAAATTAATAGCAATAAACCAATGATTCGAATAAAAATAAGCAGGCCGCGCTGACGTGACAGGTGTGTTTTCTAAAAAAAAATATACAAGCTTTAATAAAAGAGCAGACATATCATTAACTTTAGCGTGTAAACCGGACACCTGTCTAGTAAGTGACCATAAACTTTTATATAATTCAAATTTTATTCGAGATTTAAAGTTTTATCTAATACAAATCATTTTTCGAATAAGATGTTTGAAATTTATCTGGAACCGAGATTTTTTCCTAGCAACATTTCTGCCCCGTAAAGAAACAACTTTAAGGCGACAAATAAAAAGAAAAAAAAATATAATAATATTAATATAATCCTTATTTTCAAACTCTTAATTTTTGATAATATTAAATTTAAAACATAGATGAGCTTTTGCTTAATTCTTAGATATCTTTATTAGTCATATGAGCATTTGTTATCTTGCAATCTCAAATGGATAATGCATGAATAATATAAGAAAAAAAAATAGAAAAGTTTTTTAGTGATAGAATTACTGAATATATCTCAGTTTTTTATTTTGGCAACCTAATAAAGCAACATTGATGGTTTCATTTTTAGTTTAAATTATATCAATAATTTCATAATCAGAGAGATAAAAATCTTTTAGTAATGTGAATTAAACTAAAAATATTTTTATAATCCGAATTAAAAATTTCCAAATGTTGCTTTATTAAAATACGTTTTTGTACCTTTTCGAAAGATATATGTACCTATATTACACGCAACATACATGCCTAAAAACTGTACCAAATGAAGGAAATATGTCAATTAAATTCATATTTATCAAAATAAAGAATGCAACACGGTGTATGATGCATCATATTTACAAATTGGACTAATGTGTTTAAGAAGGATTACTGTATTTGAAGCAATTAAATGATGAATTTATATACTGCGACCCAAACAAAAAGGTGTAGTTATAAAACACGATGTTCAATGACTTAAATTCATATTGGTAAAATCATTCCAATCAAAGATCCCGTCCTGCACAAAGAAAATATTACATACAAGTTGTATGAAGTTCCTCTTAAAATCGTTTGCACCGTTTGCATTGTCGTAATCGGCGTATATAGTATTATCAATTAAATAAAAATATCAAATACCAGTACTGACTTTATATCATTTTTTTTAATATCGGTACATATTTGTCTGTTAACCAAAGTTTAGTTTAAGTAAACTCTAATATATTCATATATTTATTTAAGACAAGTTGTATTTTATATTTACTAATAGTGTTAATGTATTATTTTTATATAATTTTTTAATTTTTTTACAACCGTACTAACTGCTGATGCACATCAGTCAGGAAGATAATGTGTAATGTTGATCTTTATACGCGATGTATTGCGAATTTTCAATATATTTTCTATTGTAAAATAAATTGTAAAACATTTAAATGCTATTACAGAAAAATTGAATACGGTAAGTAAGAATAACAAATTGATCAGTTTTAATTAAAGAGTTTTTGGTGTTACGAAATATATCCAAAAATATTTAAATAAAAAATATGCGTGAAAATTTACAACACATCCGTATGCAATTCTCTTATGTAGATTTAATAATATTGTAGTGCTTTTCGTGTGAAGTTTATGTGATATATCTATTACTATCATTGTAGGTGTATTTTTAGAATTGGGATTAACGTCCCTTAAATAGGTAATTCCTACGTTACACTCTCTGCTATCGAATTGTTTAAGTTTTTATGTTACCAGTGATCAATTTATTGATACTAACGAGAAAACATGCAAATCAGGACTGTCGGTAATTAGATTTGAAAGGAGATTAAGTAGAAAGTGTATCGTGGCTTTAACTGCAGATAAAAAACATGTCGCTCTCTCATATCAGTTTTACTTATTAAGAGTAAAATCGTTGACATCAACCTGTTGTTCAAAATATACCAATTTCGGAACGAAACGAAAATTTTGAATTTTGGCCAAACAAAAAAATGTGGGGCTGATGAAACAGTAAGTTTCATCCAAAAATTCAAATTCGAGTTTCCGACCCATATTTTGAATTGCTGATACAGGATAGTAATCGAAATGAAATTAATATCGGACGAAATATACACAAGAAAACGAACTATAAGCAATATGAAACATATCACCAGATTTTGCTCAAAACTTAAAAATGTTGTAGATTTCAGTAAAATCTTCAGCATATTGAAATCTAAATATTTACCTCTTTAAATTCGGACATAAGCTGAGAAAAGGAACATTTTTCAAAACTTTTTTCGTTTGGGACCAGCCATAAATTTAAAAAAAAAACAAACACAGACCCACAATTATCACAAAAAAGTATTTTTAGAACATTATACAGTTTTTTTACTAATTTACTAATTTATAAAAAAATTACCCTACACCTTTTTTTTAATTAATTTAATGATCGATCGCCTTACAATGTTCAATCACCATTCAACTTGTTATTCGTTGTTAAATTTTTACGCGAAATTGTTATTGAATTGCAAGAGAAAAAAAAAGAATCGAGACATTTTCGAGTGCTATCCTGTAAGTAAAATTTTTGAAATGCGAGTAGCGATTGTTCTGCGTTGCGTTTCCGTCCAAGCATGTCCAACCATTTGGCATGTGCAGCTCAAAGCGAGCTAATGTGGGTATGGTGGGTGCGGATCGGGTGATCAGGCCGGCACTATACATATAAATTTATATAATATATTATATATTGATATATACCGGCCGTCTTCGGGGACTATTATAAAAACATATCAGCTTAATTATTGATAAATTATAATACCTGTTATATATATGCAATCCGACCTTTAAATGTCGTCTTGTAACTGTGTTTTTTATCTTCAGAATTACGTGTAAAATTATATGTTCTTGTCAACTTTGTGGATTTATATTTTACGCCTTGCTGTAAAACCTTAATGAAAACTACATAAAAAAATTGGTAGCTGAATTAATTAACTTATCGCGAATACCAAAAGATTTTTAAATGAATTTCTAGTACCACATTTTTAAGGTTATACAAAAAAGGCTAAATGATGTGATAAAATTATCAACGGTTTTGTAACAAGCCACAAACGCCTTCTCTGCTTTAGGAAATAGGTTTATAAAAAAACACCACTCTCTAAACATATCATGATCTGTGCCCCTTTGTCAAGTGACATCTTAAATTGTAGAAATTAATAAATATAATAAAAAAAGATTTGATAATATTTAAGAAATGATTATGAATTTACAATTAATGTAAGAACAATCTTTAAATATTTTATGTTCAGGATGTTTGAGGAAATGCATTACTCCCGGTTGCATTCGAATTTTTTAAAGTCAATATGTCGTAGTTCTAAGAAAAACGATCACTCTGGATCAGAATTTCAATGCTACAGAAAAATAAACTATTTTAAAATCTTATCTATATCTCTGGCTTATTAATTAAAAGCTGTCGATAAATACAAGTCAATTGATCGCGGTAATGGCTGATCCACCGTGGTGGAGTAATCGCATTTACTTTGAACATTTTGAAGGTGTGGTGAATATGTCAACTTTAAAGTAAAGATGCTTTCATTATGCGCCGAATCGTTTATACAGGAACATAAATATCGTAATTAGATGAAATTAAACGAAATTGTTTTAAATGTAGGTGTTAGTAACGCTGGTATAATTTACGCAGAGTTGTTCACCACGTCATTCACAACCACGGTCGTATATTTGTAAAGCCTGGAAATATACAGTTCGAAAAAGTCTTCATTTAACGGGACACATTCTCTAATGCAAAATCATAGGCTGTTTCCAGACCTTAGAAATGTTCACAACACAATATAACAGTGAAAATTGAAATCGATACTGAATATATAAAATAAATCGTTGACTTCAAAATTAATCTATTAAAAACCGCTAAGAAATTAACAATAACAAGGAAGCAGACAGCGATTAAGTCCCTAAGTAATTCGATATACAAATTTAAATTTGGATTAAAAAAATATATTCATTATCCGATGACATATTCAAAAGGAATTGGCACGAGTATTCCAAATACTTGTGGAAATTCCCAAATTTTTCGTATTTACCAATCACCCTGTAGCTTCAGCGAAGGTGATTGGACAATCGTCATTAAAATGCTGCTGAAGCGCGTTTTATGAGTTCAGCAGACGAAGCGAAAATTGAGTTTGGGAACATCTGTTCTCGCAACTTAGCCTTAGTAGTCCTGTCGACCAGGGAATGCATATCTTTATATTAATAATGAAAAAAAATCTGTAGGAATACGTCGTAAATACTTAGTTATATATGTAAAATGTGTGAAAAAAAATTTGTTGGTCTAGACTTTTAAGTACAATTGAACAATGTATTTGGGTAAACCGACGAACTTCGACCTTATTCCCGGGTCAGTTTTATTGTTGATACTAGTCAGATAAATGTAATGAATAACCCAACCCCACCATCTTGCCCCTTTGATTCTGAAAGAAGCATTCCATACAAAGATTGTATTACCTGACAACGTACTTAGATTTAAAAACATTGTATAGGGTCCAAAAGATGGGAAATAAATATGTATTACATGTTTCCGTGTTTATTTTATCTTTTCCAAAAAAAAAACCTTAGTTTGAATAATGAATTTCGTGTAGTAATACACCAGATAAGAGATAAAAAAAAGACAAATCAATGAATATTAACTTACAGTATAAAATTTTATGTACCAACCGCTTAAGGAATATTCGCCAAAAAATCTTTTACTGTTGAAGGATCAAATCTCCTAAATCCTTGCGGATCGCATATGCCAACTTCGATGTTATCAGCGGTCATTTGGCCCTCAAAGCTTTCTTTAAGAGTTAAAATAGCGGTGTGCACGGCATCATCCAATTCCAATTCTTCGCTATACCTACAAAAATCAATAATATAAACACACTTTCAAAATATTACTACTCGCTAAAAGCTCGGAAAGGGAGCTTTGTCACTGAAGTAGTAAATAGTAAAAGGCCGCAAGGAGATGGGTCCGCCATAAAAAATGGCGGACGATTAGCATTTTCAAATCAGGAAAATGATGGTCATATTCGTAATCAGCGGTCCCGTTTCCATCTTTCAAATAATTCAAAAAGAATAAATCTCGCCAATGATGGGCTTTAGTATATATAGGGACTCATTGAATCAATACCTCTTCTCAAGGAAAGTCTTCCCGTTGACGTAGTTCTTTCCCATTGCTGTGGCTTTCCAAGCAAAATACGCCCCGGAAGGATCACACTGGAATAAATAGGGCCTGTTGTTGTCCCATCCGCAGATCAATAAGGACACTCCGAAGGGTCTGACTCCTCCGGACTGGGTGTATTCCTGCATGACGGTCGCCACCCGTTGAACTAGCTGAACGGTAGGGATGGGTTCCTTGTAAACCAGGTAATACTGTTGGGCCATTTTACGGGCTTGTTTCACCAACAAACGGTAATCGGGTCCCATACCGGAATAGACCATTCCAATGTGCTTCGTGATCATTTCTACTTTGTGGACGCTGTGCTCGTCATAGAGAATGGATTTGTGTTTGTTTTCTGTGGCTATTACCACTCCATTCGATGCTAATTTATAAAATATATTAGTACATTGTGTAGTAACTATGAATGTAAGCTTACCTTTTATTCCTACTGACGGAGCGCCAGCCGCTACTGCCGCTAAAGCATATTCGATTTGGACTAGTTTACCTGAAGGGCTGAAAAACGGAGCGTTTTATATGAATTGAAATAGTAGAAAGTAATTAATAATTACCTAAAAGTTGTTAAAGAAAAACTGTAACGTTCAGATGACATTTTCACAAATGATTACTTGCAAATTATCAACAAATGTCTATGAAAAAAGTTTAGGTTAGAATACGGATGACAGTTGACTTGACAGGAGTGTGGAATGACAGTTGCGTTCGATAACCTACTCTGCGAAATAACGCTTTAAGACAGAGATAAGAAGCAAATGGTTCGAATTAAAAAAGGATGGATATTAAAATCGGTACGAAAATTTAGAGACATCTAGTGTTGAAACAGTAGGACGAAATTTAAAATTCAAAAATTAATTTTATCATTCTGGAATTAAATGTATTTTAAAATTAAGACAGGGTTCCAAACAGGAATATTTTATACATTACTCATTATTATTTTGATATACATATAATTATTATTACTCGTTGAATTAGGTGTTATTCTAGTAGTAGGAGAATTTCTAGCATCTTTATGCATCTAACGAACTACTTTTTAATCTGTTAATTCGCGTGCTATATGCAATGTTGCTACTAAATTGTGCTACGAATCGAATTATTCATCAAATTTGAACTGCCTCCATTGTCTAATGGACTCCTTTTGGACTTCAAGAGCACTCTTCAAGATCGGACTCGCATTCGATCGTACCACAAAATACATATTCAGTTTTAACGCCGCTAGATTGGAGTTTCTCAACAATCTCGTTGCTCTTGGGGTCATCGCCTTCGTCTACATATCCTATTTTCACGGTTTCCAAATTCGGAAGCGAATCGAAATTCAAAATTTCGTAAACGTTTAAGTCGAAATGGACAGTAGTTAGTGTTGAAATCTGCTCGAACGTTTTATAATCAACGTCGGCGTTGATTTTGTTGTGGTGGAACGAGAAGAATTTAAGGTTGGCGAGTTTGAGGAAAACTTCGAAATTGATTTCATCTATTTCGCTGTCTCTTATATTCAAGCCTTCCAAATGCGAGAGGTTGTCGAATATGTCGTTTTCGATTACGTTGATTTTGCAATTCGATATTGATATTCCTTTGAGAGATTCCAAATTTGAGAAGAGCGTGCCATTCAAATTTTCGAATAAACACGTATCAAACGACAGGGACTCGAGTTGTTGTAAATGCTGAAAACAAGGATTGCTGGGGACTTTAATGTCTTGCAAAGAGACGACTGTTAGGCTGGTGTTGTCTTCGAACGTCTCGGGCTCGAGAGGAAACGTTCCTTTATCAATGTGCAGGGAGTTTAGTTTGTTCAATGAAGAAAAGGCTCTCTTGCAATCTTCGAAATTGCAGTTATCGAAGCTGATGTACTCCAAGCCAGGTAGCAATGAAAACGATGTCGAATCTAACACACCTACAAATTTGCAAGGTGTAATATTGTTTAAATTAAAGGAAGACAGTTACCTGTGCAATTTTTCATATCCAACCAAATGGTTCTATCATCGGTGCCTTCGATACCAAACAGTTTTACTGGTTTCCCTTGTATTAATTCTTGATTGTTATAATGAACGTGTTCATCTGAAGCGCCGCAATATATTTCAGGATTCATTATTACTATTTTCAAATGTATTTTTTTGTAATAGAAATTCGATTTATTTTCCGCAAATCTTCTTTTAATTTAGAATTGTTAATCTTAATAGTAAAAGTCAATTGTACTAACAGTGTCAATTGTCATGTCAAAAGTTATCTGCTTATCGTGTTATGCAACACAAAACACGCAAGTAGATTTTATTATTACAGGATAATATTCCTTTAATTTTATAAGTGCTAAAAGTTACAAAGAGCATCCAATAAAACCTGCTACAATGTGCGATTGTGACTCAGATTCAGTTGATTCCTATTATGAGACCGTACTTAAATTAACCAAAGAAGCCGGAAAGGTAAACTGCATCCTATTACATATTTACATTATACAGATTGCATGGATATTCTTTTAGCTAATAAACGAAAAAATTAAAATCAGAAACAAGAAAAGGGAGATTAAATCCAGCAACATAGACCTGGTGACCGAAACTGATCAAGCAGTCGAAAAATTGCTAATCGACGGTCTCTCGAAAGAGTTCACGACTCACAAATTTATCGGGGAAGAGACCGTTAGTTCGGGAGGCGCATTGGAGTTGACAGACGCCCCAACATGGATTATTGATCCTATCGACGGAACATTAAATTTCGTTCATTCGTATCCCCATTCCTGCGTGTCTATCGGTAACATTCCATTCATTTCAGTTATTTATAACACAACTTATAAAACGTTTATTGCAGCGCTTTTTATCAACAAAGTACCAGAAATAGGTATAATTTTCAACCCGATGTTGAACCAGCTCTTCACAGCCCGAAAAGGCCAAGGGGCTTTTCTAAACGGCGAGCCAATCCACGTTTCCGATACAAAAGAATTATCCGAAGCTCTGCTCATGTTGGAAGGCGGGACCAGCCAAGAGCCCGAAAGAATGAATGCAGTTTGCGAGAATGTGAAAAATTTATTACCGGTAGTTCACGGGTAATGCACGATTATTTCCTGCAATTTACATAAATTCTATATATTAATTCCAGTTTAAGATCCTTGGGCTCGGCTGCATTAAACATGGCTATGGTGGCGGCGGGCGGCTCCGACGCCTACTTCGAGTTCGGAATCCACATTTGGGACATCGCCGCAGGAGAACTGATAGTAAGAGAAGCCGGAGGTGTCGTCATCGATCCGGATGGCGGCGATTTAAAGAGATTTTCAAGGCGAGTACTATGCGCTAGTACACAGGAATTGGCGGAAAAACTGGCAAGGAAATTAGTCCAAGTTTATCCGGAACCAGATGCTTAATATCCCCATTGTTCGATGTCTAGTACCAGCGGAAGCATTTATTAGTAAATCATATTGTGTAAGTGTTAAATTTAGATATCTCTCACTTAAAGTGTTTATTTATACAAACAAATATTAATGGTTAAATCATGTTAGATATACATTAGAAATTTAAAAGAAAAACCAATTAATTTCCCCCAAGCGTATAACCTCTACCCCAAGTGTGGCCTCCGAAGAATCCGCCCCTTTGATTGCCGCCTCCCGGTGCGGCGGTGGAGGCGGGCCTTTGCGGCGCTACGCCGAACGTGTGCACGCCGCCCAACTGATCGGGGAAGAAGGATTTCAACAACGAGGGCGTTTGAAGTAAGTTGGGGCCGCCCAGTTCCTGGGGGTACTTGTACATTAGGAAGTAATAGAGATGTCCGATTAATATCCCGAATAATTCCATGATGCCTCCACCGCTGAGGACCATGTTGAACGCGAGAAGTACCCAAGGTAGGTACAGAGCTTTGAAGCGAGTACCGAACCAAAATGATACAATCGTGTTTTTGTTGAGTTGACACCACACATACAAAACTGAAAGTATCATGGGGTCCATTAAAATCTGTAAATAAACAACAAAATTAGAATAATGTGTATGAGATTTAACTCGTTTTTATTACCGGTAATTCCGCTATTAATCCGAGTATAACGCAGCATGTCCAATTGAAGATTAACATGAGAAGATAATCAGCAGGTTTACCTGCGTACACTCCTACAATGAAATTAAACGATAAAAAACGTAAACTTGAAATTAAAATGTATTTCTTACCTTCTTCTAAACGCCTCGAATAATTGTAAAGGAAATAAAGGTTGATGAGATAGTGAAATCCTGCTTGTTGAATGGGGTAGTACAGGACACATGTTGCAAGCCTCCATATTTGGAAATTTTTTAACGGCTCGTATAATAAAATGAGAGTGTAAGGACTTACAAAACCAAATCGCCCTAATAGGGTGAATATTATAGATCCAGCGAACCAATAACGTGTAAATTGAGGAACGCTCCTAAACCAATCGCCCAAGTCAGACATTTTCTTTGCTTTATGAAAGTGAAACTATATAACGATTTAGAACATTACTGCTATTCCATACACTAAAATTATTCCTGCTGGAACATTCTTATTAATTGTCTATTCCCGAATTTTGTAATAACTGATGTGTTTACGTATGACTGGCTAACTTATCATTTGACAATTAGGTTGACATTGACATTTGGCAGTTGTCATGAGCTGGTCACACCGAATTTGTCAGTGCAACAAACGAACAAACCAACAACGTGTCAAAAAATATCGTGACACGTGACGTTTAAATGTCATTTTAAGTGTTTTCTTCATAATAATTACAATTTTGCTGCACTTTTCTATAAATTAAATCATTATGGCCCAAATTACCGCCGTACTACAAAAATTTTATAACGAATACAGAAGCAAAACTTCAAAGAAACTAAAAGTAATTGATGCTTATTTATTCTACATTCTACTAACCGGTATAATACAGTTTGTATACTGTTTGTTAGTGGGCACGTTCCCCTTTAATTCGTTCCTCAGTGGTTTCATTTCAACTGTTAGTTGCTTCGTTTTAGCCGGTAAGTCGATAACAATGTGACTAGTTTAATATAGAAAGAGAATACAACATATTATTCGATTTCAGTGTGTCTTAGACTCCAAGTTAACCCGGAAAATAAGATGCAATTCAGCGGAATCAGCCCAGAAAGAGGCTTCGCCGATTTTATATTCGCGCATGTCGTCCTGCACTTAGTTGTAATGAATTTCATCGGTTAATTATTCAATTATATCTACTCTATATTTTGTAATTAAAAACTAATTCATTTTAATATCGTTTATCTATCCCGAATCCATTTTTAAAAAGCTATTCTAGTAATTTTTAATATCTTATCAGTTCGTTATCTTTCAATTGGCATACTATTGAAGGTGCGATAACGCCAGTTAATTCGACAATGTAGACACGATATATAGTTTAGAAATGTTAACTTGTTGTATACGAAAAAAATTGAAATCGTCGAGGAAAAATTCCCTCGAAACACAAAACGAATTAGCTAATGGTAAATATAATATAAACTTATTACATAATACAATGTATTCTTTCAATTTACAGCAGTAGGACAAGAAAAACCCTCGTCAAACCCAATAAATCCAATATCTGAAACTAAACAGAACGAAGGAGAGAATAGAAAAATGTCGAGTATTTCGCTGAATAGTTTTTATAGTATTAAATCGTCAAGATCTGAAAGTGATGGTGCCGATTACTATAGCGTGTGCAGTGTGGATTCATATAAAAGTGTTTAAAATTTCCAGCTAAAACGATTATGTTTATTTCAGTTTATCTTATCTCTACATAATACTTTTTTACAAGTATATGTTTTAATACAATACAATGTGTTAATTCTTGGAAGTAATTTTACGTGAAACAAAAATCACCAATTTGATTCCGCTTGTCGAAGATAAGGTCCCAATTTGCTAGCGTGTCTTCGTTCAATCGAATTACTAAAATTTCCGCAATATATTAAATATAATTCAGTATGTTGTAATTGGGATAATAATTCAGCGGGGCTTTCTTCTATAACTCTACAGCATTCCCTCACGATCGTCCTAAAGCCGACGCTGTGTTTCGAGAAGAACTCTTCGAATTTCTCTTTGGACGCCATTTCGATCCTACCCCTCAAGTACAACCAGTGTCTCTTGTGGGGGTGGTAATGCCTGTTGTAAGCAGCTTCATTTTCAGAGCTGATACTGCTGGCGTATTTCGCAAAGCTTCGTTCATCTTCCACTTCTTCGCTACCACTACTCCCATCAGAATTATCTAACAGTCTAACGGGCACGAACTTTTTATTCTTCGGTTCGATAAAATACGCGCACTCGTGGTGCGTCTTCATATGTTCCAATTTATAGTTTTTATTAGCACCTTCATCGTGGAATAAACTAGAATCGTCGAAATATTGTTTCGAACGCAACAAGAAATCTAAACTGTCTCTTCTAAAGTTGCGATTTAGGATTAATTTGATGTTTTGGCTCATCTTCGATGGCGCTATAATATCGGAGTAATTTTTAAAAGGCGTTAAATTGGGTAGAAACTCGATGGCAGGTATGTAATCCTGTTGCAAATTTTGTATCCTGCTCAATAAGTTCTTGTATCCCACCATATCCGATACGATTCTGTTCCTGTCGCTGACGAATATGTTGTGCGTGTATTTGTATTGCAAAAACAGGTCCGGGTTAAGGTTAATTTCGTTATCGTGTAAATGGGACGTCGGTAGATGATTCTCGCTTATTACTAATTTTCGGTATTCTATAAACTCTAGCCAGTTTATAATATCGAACATTCTCGATTCGCTGACAATTCTGTTGCATTGTTGTGCGTATTTGGAAAAATGCCTTTCGGTCACGCCGTCGAGACCAAATAATATTTTCAACACGAATATTATTACAGACATCACCCTGCCTTCGTAATTCGGAATGGTTCCCGAAAATTTTATAGGATTTTCTAAGAGAATATGCTGCACCATATTAACGATTTCATCTACAAATAAACAGTTTAGAATAACACAAATTACGAATCGAATTAAATACCTGGTAAATTCAACTCTGAGCAATACCTCTCGGCTAGAATCGACAAATCCGGGCAAACGATGTAGTCTTGAATTTCCAAAAACTCGATCATCTTCGAAGCGGTCGATCTAAATACCGTGTGACTGTATATTCCCTTGATGGAATTATCCTGTATATTTAATATTTTATCGGCGTAACTGTCGGGAAACAAGGAAGAAAATCTGTTGCAGTTCAAATATCCCTCGCGCAAGAAACGCAGCAAATCGCCCAAATGAATAACGTCTCTTTTCACCAACAAAGCGATGTACAATATGGAGTAAATCCTAAGAGGTGATATTATGTAAGCGCCTTTTGTGTAATCTATCGAACACGTTTCGTGGGTGAATTTGTGGCATTTTAAATTGAGTCTTAAATCTCTTTTGTGGACTTGTATGTGCTCTTTGCAAACTGTGCTTCTTAATTCGCCCAAGCTGTATTTGTTGAATGAAATTTGTTTGGAACTTTCTGATGATGCAGCGGGATTTTTAAGTGTAGCCAGAGTTTCATTGTGCAAATCCTTGTTCTTCTCCCATTCCTCCACATCTTGGGAATACAGGGATTTTGCTAACGCCATCTGCAATTGAAATTGTATTAGTAATTGTGTACGAGAAATCCCTTAACTGAAGATATGTGAGGCATGATGTTAACGACAAAATCATCGCTGATTTAAGTATATTTTTATATTATGTATCTATTTTTAGTTTGAATAAAACCTTTTGTAATAAAACGGCCATTTTAGGAACCCTGTTTTATCTTCAAATAACGGGACACTGTTTCAAATACAGCTTATAAATCATAAAAATAAATCACCTTCTTTTTGGATCTTTCTCTTCTTGAAATTTGATCTACGTGATTTTCTTCTGTTGTAATTTCTTTCTTTACTCGTTTCCTTTTCTCTAACCCGTAGGTTACGGCAATATCCCTATGAAAACATAAGATTAGCAACATGAATCTCTTAGTACGATCATGCCTACCTTTTAGTACCTATCAATGAAAATTTAGGCTTCTTATCTTCATCAAAATTAATCACCTGCAGCTTCTCCAAATATCGCATCCACAAGGTCTTGACAATTTTCTTAATAGACGGATCGGCTCCCAATTTAATCAACTCTTCGGTCAACGACAATAAAACAACGTTGTAGCACTCCCAGCTAGTGAGCTGTTCGAATTTTCCTTTCGCTTTTTTATCGCGAACTCTTTTGGCACCTTTAATTTGAAACTCTGTGGCTTCATCCTGGAAGACGTGCTCTTGAACTTCCTGGCTCTGCGTCTGGCATTCGCTGCAGAAGAAATAGCCCGATTCTTTGATGAAATTTGTACCGCCACACACTACACATTCCATTTTAATGTTAATCACAGCCTTTTTATTTCACAATTATTGGAAACTTATACTATGTTGACATGAATTCGTTGTTATATTTTTAGGTTATGTTACGTTTCAACTTCAGTTCAGTCGAGTTGTCAAAAATTTATTTAATCGTATTTAAAATTTGTCAACTTTTAATAGTTTTATGTGATTAATTACGAATATAATTAGAATTAAAATCGAGATATATTTTAATTTTGGTTTGGTTTTATACTTTTAAAGGGGAATGGAGTTACCATAGGCAAGAGACCAAAATGTCAAATATCAATATTTTTCGTCCAGCGCCATCTGCATGTGGGTACATCTACTAAATTGAAAGAGAATTCTGTCATTTTTAGTTTTAATTTGTGTGTAATGTGTAAAGATGGCTGAACATTTGTAATTTTTAAAAGAAGTTGGAAAATCGAGAAATAATAAGTAGTGAGTAAACATTTTAGTATTTTATTATTTATAATTTAATGATACATTATTTTAATATAATTAATTGAATTAAAAAAAAATAAATTAATTAATTGAAACTTGAAACAATATTTCAAGAAACACAGGTTTTTTAACTGCTAAAAAAATAGCCGCATTCGAATTTATTTTCCAAAATAATCAAATATAGATGCTTAATTATTCATAATTAAACTTCACATGGCAACTCTTTTGATAAATGATATATTAAAAAAATCTTTATTAACTTTATAAGGGTTTTCAAGTGCGAAATTTAAAAATCAATTTGTACATAACACTCGAATTCACAGCATTTTACTGAATATTCCGCGATCTTTAGAGTGTAGTTGCGAAATTGTTGTTTTATTTGACCAACTTCGAACATCACGATCACGATCCTCGATTTTGCATTCTCCTCTATGTCGATTGCCACAAATAAATGCTTACGTAGATGGAGATCAAAGCTAACAGCAAGATACAGGACCAAACAGGCACACACATACACACACATACACACACAAACTCACACAAGTGCCTAACCGCATAAGGGTGAACCAGTGAGGCGTACAAAAACACGCTGGCTTTAGTTTATATAGATCAAAATAACCAGGAGCGGACTTTACTTCGATCCAACGCACACCCTTTGATAAAGATTTTACACCTAATTAGATTATCGCTGAAAGAATACGGGGATTGGAAGTAATTAAAGAAGGATCGGCGTACCAAATGCGCTCATCGGAATTTCACCTACCTAAATGGATATATAGTTTATTTGAAATTACTTTAATCGATTCCTTTACCGCCTCTGTATTCGCATATACGTACTGAACATCGGCCCCGTTCAAGATCTCTATTCATGAAATCCTACATATAAATTACATAACCTGTAATTTATCTCCGAAATCCAGAGAAGGACACGGGATATAACGCCCGAGGGTTTTCCAATTACTGACAACCTTTTCCTTCGTCGGGAAATAAACCAAGTTTGCAACATGTAATTACAACATGTAATTTTCTCTTTCGGTTATCTGAAACTAATCGACAAACACAATTATCCAGCACATTTTAGAGTAATTATATTTTCATTAAAAAGCCTTTCTAACTTAAAGTTTGTTGTTTAATAATGAAAAAACTTTAAGCCACAAAAATAAGTAGGTATCAAGTAATTAAAAATCGGGTCGAAAAGTTTCCTAATTTAACCTTTTTCGCACCTATATCGATCGTCCAATTAAGGTAGCTAGGTACGTTTTGTATGGAAACAATCCATGCCCTTTGTGTGCGTCTAATCATCCGGTTCCTGGATTCGCGTTTTACGCACGATAGGCTCCCCGGAAACAATGCATGAAATAACAGTTAAGCCGTGGAAGGAGTGATATACCGAAGAAGATCCGGCGTAATTTCCGCGGCTCTTATCATTTGTTGCGATGCTATGGAAAACCTACACTTATTACAACAGCTTAATTTGATGCCGAGCCTATTGTTGTATAAAATAAAAGAGTCGGTTAGGTCATATTTTTTATGTAAAAGAGTAAACACAATTTATGTGTTTACTTCTACCTAATTTTTCTTACTTTTCCTCCCACTTCATGCACCGGTTATTTCCTCACTTTTCTCATACTAGAACTTAAGAATCTCCTTGATATCGGCTGAGAGAAAATACATCGAAAGATGAAGTAGTTGTAACATCGAGAAGGCGTAGAACCGAAAACTTCGGGCACATAAAAATTCGGAAATTTCCTTTTGCGATGAGTTGACGATTCGAGAAAAGTCCCGGTTACTCCTTCTCTTTTGTGTGCGTGTGTGTGTTCGTGTGTGCGCTCTCTCGCATTTTATACGCGCGGAGTTTCCTTTCGGGGAAACTGGAACAGTAATAAAGAACCGTAGAAATATGAGATTCGACTTTGTAAAAAGTTCAAAGCAGACGCAAAAAGTAATATGAGCGTCCGTTGAACGAATAAAATCCATCGAGATATATTTTAAATTATATTTCGATTAACCGATCGAGGCGGGAGGGAAGCTCTCGCGAAGTCGTCAAAGATGTGAGGTTTCCAATATTTCAAACATAAGAGGGAAAAAGTGATATGAAAATTAGATATACCAAATTTGCAGAAAAAGTCTGAACGAGATTTGAAGACAATTTAAGGAAGTTTATTGAGAGTGTGTTTCAAAATTATTCAAGAAACAATATTCAAAAAATTCAAACTTGTAATAAATTAATTAAATGTTATTAAAATTTAAAAATGTATCCATCAACTTTTAGAACACCCTGTATTAAAACTTGTTACTCACTTTTTTCTTATTCGAACTCCCGAAATATTCGCAAATTCAAATATACCCACAGTCGAAATTATCTGTATGAAAACTTTTTCCCTGTTTATTATTGATGCACCCCGATATACTTCATTTGCCCGTTTTATTATTTCATTAAATATTTAAAACGAAAACCGTGTTTGTCATCGGATTCGTACGGAATATAAGCCATTTTTCTTTTTAAATCCGCCGGTTTCCCCGATATGAAACCGAAATGCGAGTCCGGTAATCATATCATATTGGAACATTAAAGTCATCCGATAACTGATTTATAGAGTCTGAAACGGGGCGTCTGGTATACGCGCCTTATAAAAATGCCGCCGATAAATATCGTATTTATACCCAGAATTTGAAATTAAAAAAAACTTTATTCGCAAGTTTTTTTTTGCTTGGTGTCTACGGCGCAAATGAAAAAAAAAAGTCCTTAGATACTTTTAAATACAGCTTGAACTTCAACGGATTCAAATTTTATCTTGTTCTCACCTCTTTGGGAAAACTAGACGAACTTTTATATTGTAGCCGACCCGGATAACTTTCGGTGGAAATTTCGAATTTTGAAAAATTCCACGCCGTCTTCGCATGCGAATAATAGAGCACACATGCGGAAATATATCATCTCGTTTCGTCGGTTTATTTTAGCTTCGGTCTAAGCTTTTATCGCATTTCTGCAGGCCGTCGCGACGACGCCGGTGGAGATGTAGGTACTTCGATTTCCGAACGACTGCTTTACATCCAACAAATAAAATTTCTTAGCCAGAAAAGACGTTTCTTTATCAAGTGTATTTGTCACTTCCAATCTGATAAACATTTCATTAAAACTATAATAAATATATTTCATCTACATCAATAAATTATTATCATGGCAGGCAGTTAACAGGCTATAATTGAGTTATAAAGATGAATGTTTTTTATTAAAGTAAATTTTATTAGCCATAAAAATTAAGGGAACTTTAGTTTAGATGTAGGTAATGTAGTTTTCATATCAAATAGTTTTTCAATTCTATTCTCTGTGGTTTGCTAATATTTAGATTTTTGTGCTTATTAAAAATGCTGTGTACATTTGTATTTTTGTCCTCGTTCGAGCCGCGCCCCATTAGAGGGAGCGGGAGCAGGAGCGAGAGAAAACTGCTTTCGCCATTTTCGCGTATACCCGCATCCTTTTTATAAATGGCTTACAGCTCTTGACGTTTAATATCCATACATTACGTAAACCTAACCCCTCCGACCACCATCAAAAAAGTCTTGTATCCCATTTTAATCGCGACGTAATATTTTCATTTTTTTTCCTCCTGATGTGTGCGACATGAATGTTAAGCCATTTTTAACAGCTCCAAATGACTGATCGGAGCTGGATGTTTTTGCGAGGGTATTAAAATGGAATGGTTTTATACGGATATTTAGGCTCAAGGTTTTTATTAGAACCGATTCAAAAATGCCTCAATAAAAACCTAGTTCACTATATGAGAATAAAAAAAACAGTACCTAATTTGTATTTGTATTGGTTGATGTATAGACCAGATATTTGCTTTCAGACCATTTTGCGAATTTAACGAATAATAATTCAAACGGCAATTAGACATCCAATGATGCTGATCCAACAGCACTCATAACATTAATTTTTTTGCGCGCCCCATCCATATACACCAGCGGCAGCTCGGACATTATCCCCGTCAAAAAGAATGGCTTCGCTTCCGAAAAACAAAACGCCTCTATGACTTTTACAAATAGTCATTTTTTGCCGCCATTTATTTCTGCGACCCTTATCGGCGGTGCGGACAATATAAATTTTGAAATTGGCATTCTGAAATAATAGGCGCCCGGCCAGCGGATCTGGCCCTATCTGGGCACGGTTCGAGTTCATTCAGTTAGGCGGACGAATTTTTTAAACCTTTAATTACTGCCTGCTGAAGTATTTTCTTTAACTTTATACATTGAAAATTGTGTGATTCGCCACAGAAACGGCTATTCCATTTGTATATCTCACTGGTAACAATCTGGTAAAATCTAATCGTATTATTAATATAACCAATAATTAAAGTATTTATGTCGCGTATTTAATTGGTAGCCAAACTTTAATTTTCGACTACGTACCTACCGCAATCGGTCCATTGTGTTTCCTAACCCTTGCTAACAATATAATTCTCATATTTATCACCCGCATCCATTGTAGCCTCGCCGGCTCGGTAATAACACTTTCCTATTCCTATGCGGTTTGTTCGTACATTTTATTGGGGGGTCGAGAGGTCCGCTACATTGTCCTCCACAATGGAATTATACATTCGTAATCTACTCGTCTTTCTATTCATTATCAAA